TATTAAGGAGAAAAAGATAATATAGTGGTACATGGAAGGGAGCATGTCGATTGAATGACATGTAACTCGTCATGACTCTTGTTATAGTTGTATATTTAATTATGAATAATGATAGAATCAATTTATGTTAGGTCTTTTAATGCGTATTATGACTTAAGTATTAAATCATATGACATCACATGAGTCAAGTGGGATAATGTTAGAATTAATTTAATTCATTCATATAATGGACCCAAATGTGATTTAATAAAATATAAAGACTTATTGATTATTATGTGAAGTTAAAATAAAATAAAGATAAAATAAAATAAAAAGTTACGGTAACCAACTTGATGGACGTTGGTTAATAAAAAGGATTAAAGTTACGTCTCTGGCCATAAGGTTTTTTTCATGGTAAACCATCAAGAAAGCGTAAGAAGAGAAAGAAAGACAAAGAGATAGATTGAGAAAAAGAAATTGGAGAACGAAAAGATTAAAGAAGATATTCTCATGGATCAATGTTAATCTTCTTACTATGATTCATGTATTGATGTATGTTATATTGTGAAAATCAATAATCTAAAGATCATGTAGAATAGTTTTCTAGAATGAATTAAGAGCGTAGGAAAACTACATAATGTTTTACAAAAAAAAATCGATTAACTTCAATTTGTTTTGTTCGATCATGTTGTACTGAATTATGAATAATATCACACACAACTTTATTGTCACATCATAGTTTAATTGCTTGTGTGAACAAGTATCCAATATCTTGCAAAAAGAATTTTAGCCATAAACTTTCATAAATTTCAAGTGTCAATTCGCTAAACTCAACTTCACTTGAGCGAGATAACATAATTTGTTTTTTATTTTTCATATAACAAGATTACTACCAACAAATATAAAGTGACCCGATGTTGATAATTATCTTCTAATAATTCAACCTAATCAGCATTAGTATATACATCTATTTGTTGGTGACTTGTATTTGTTGCAAATAATAATCATTTTCCAAGTGTTGACTTTAAATATCTTAAAATATCTATAATTGCATTCATACATTGCTCTCCAAGATTATGTATAAATTGATTGACAATACTTAATGCGTAGAAAATATCTGGTCTTGTGTGTGTTAAGTACATCAATCTCTCTACAAGTCTTTGATAACTTTGTTTATTAATTGAAATTTAATTTGATGTAGTAGATAACTTTAAACCTTCTTCCATTGGTGTATTGGTTGTCCGACAAGTCGACATACTTATCTCTTGTAACAAGTTTAGGACATTTTTTTAGTCAAAAAATATTTTCTTGGATCTAAATACTTCAATCTCTAAAAAATATTTAAAGAGACCCAGGTCCTTTATTTCAAACCCTTTTGATAAATACTCTTGTAAACTTTTACTTTCTTTTGGATAATTTCTTATAATAATTATATCATTTATATATACAACAAATGTAGTTATTTTACCTTTTTGTTTCTTCAAAATTAAAGTATGATCTGAATTACTCTAATTATATTTAAATGCTATCATAGATTTTGTAAACCTTCCAAATTATACTTGTTTCAACCCATACAATTTTTTTTATTTGCATTTTTTTTTTAAGTTTTTTGGGTACCATGCAACTTGGTGGGAGTTCTATATACATGTCTTTAGTTAATTTCGCATGTGAAAATGCATTTTTTACATCAATGTTAATTTTTGCTACAACAGTAATTGTCTTTGTATAATCAATTTCATATGTTTAAGTATATCATTTTGTCACTTTATATCTTTCAATTGTACCATATGCTTTGTATTTAATAGTGTAAATCCACTCGACATCCTACTCGGTTTATTTCCTAGTGGAACATCAACCAATATCTAAGAATCATTCTTTTGAAGTCAGTTCATCTCCTCATTCATAACGGTCTTTCATCCTAGATTAGATAAAACTTTTAGCAAATTGTTAGGGATATCTATAATAAATAATTGATTGGTAAATATTTTATTTATTTACGATAGTCTATGATTTGATAGACGAGTGACTCATAGGATATTTTAATTCATTAGAAAGTTCTGGCTCATAAGTAATTTAGGAATACATCTAGTGAGACAACAATTTGACAATTATTTAACTTCAATGTTATCTCCACTAAGAGTTTATTGTGGGGCTTCTCCAGTAAGATGTTTATATGAGACTTTAGTACAAAATTTGTGTGATGATTATCTAATGTAAGTTTCTTCTTCATCTTTTAAAGGGTGAGCATATGAAATTGGATCATTTAGATTTATATTATATTCTAGAGTTTGGTTTTTATACTCTATAGTCTGAATTTTCTGAATTTCTTGTTAGTTCCTTCCATGAAAATAAAACTTAAAAGAAAAATACATTGTATCTTCATGAAAAATTACATCTGTTATTATATACATATGTTGAGTAGGAGGATGATAACACCTATATCCTTTTTTATGTGTAACATATCCAATTAAAACACATTTTGTTTTATTGATGCTTATGAAGATGAACAAATGCAACACATCCAAATATATGAGGGGATAAATTAGAAACAATTGAGGTGAGTTAAATTATGTAGTGTTTCAAAAGAAATATTAAAACCAATTGAGGGAGTTAGATTTATTAAATATACTTTTGAAGTAAGAGTGTGTCCCCAATAACACAATCACATGTGTGTCTCAATCATTGAAGTACGAACAACATCTATCAAATGTTAATTTCTTCTCTCAACAACCCCATTTTGTTTTTGTTAAGGTGTATTGGGACAAATAGTTTGATTAATAATTCCATTAGCTTCTAGATATTGTTAGAATTTACACTTTTTATACTTCCCACCATTATCACTATGTAAAACCCGAATGTTAGCATTATATTGAATTCTTCCCATTTTATAAAAATTTTCAAATAATACAGCTTACATTTTTTTTATTTCATTAAGTATAACCAAGTCATTCTTGTATATTCATCGAGTAAAATTAAAAAAACAACAAGATTCACCTAACGTTTGAATTTTAAATGAACCTCACATGTTAGAATGTATTATCATAAAATCTTGAAAACTCTTATTTAAAATTAATAAAAATGATGTTTTATGATTCTTTGTTAATTCACAAACATCACAATTAAACTAGAAACACCATGCTTTTTAAATAAAGTAGGAAATAATTTTTTTAAATACCTAAATAAGGCAGACTACAGCATCGATGTCACAACCAATTTTTAAGTTTTGTATTTTCTCCCTTAGAGTTATTCATAACAAATGCTTGTTGTAACTCATTAGATTTTTTTTTTTTTAAAGAAGGTAGTAAAAGTTTCCTCTCCTTAATTGGTTTTGTTTTGATATATTTAAGAATATAAGAACTAAGATAAACAAAAATAAACACACAAGATAAATTAGTTATTATGTGAGAAACATATAGAAGATTAAAATTTAAAGAAGGAACCATCAAAACAAAATTAAAATTTAAAGTACTAGAAGATCGTTCTCTAATAATTTAGACTTTATTTCCATTTGCAGTAGAAATATATATTTTGTATAGATGATTTAATTTTTGTTACATTATTATGATCAAATGTCAAATGATTTCTAATTTTATTATCAGTAATTCAATCTTATAAAGATTATTCATAGGTGTATTTGGTGTAAATACCTTTCAATAATTATGTCTATCATTATAATATACTTTTGAAAGATATGGAAAATTTATTGAGTTTGAACAATAGAAGAAAAATATCAAATTTTATTTTCTTCATTTAAAATTTTTAAAAGATTCAAGATTTAAAGGATGGTTATGTACCAACTTGAAAAATATAAATTAAAATATATATTATTATTCAATATGAAATAAAATATGAATACTCTATTTATAAATTAAAAAAATATGTATCAAATTAAATTACTAAAAAAATTAAAATATTTCGCGACTGTATCAAATCTTAATTTTTACATTGATAAATAAATCTCAACAAATTGTATCATTGTTTCTTTATGTTATTAATATCAAAGTGATAATTATATCCTTTACGCAAACTCTATTTATTAGCTATATAAATTTTATATCAGATCATTTTATGACTCTTCGTGTTCTGACAAAATTAAAAAATTTTAAATTAGTTTTTAAATTATTTTAAAAAATTAAATCCAACGAACTCTTAATAAATTAATGATTTGATGATATAATTAAGAGAAATTTATTCTTACGTAATTTGTACGAGTTATTATGTGAAATTCAAATCCTAACGTCTTCATATTATATTTCATCACATATTTTACAATCTTTACCTTGTATCGTTTATCTTTTTTATTATTTTTATCTTTTATATTCATCATTTCTTTTATTTTTATCGCTTTGTTTTATCTAGATGCGTCTTCATCTTTTATCTTTATCTTTTATTTTTATCTCTTAATTTTTTATTTAAAATAAAATATTAGTTTTTTTTTAAAGATTACAAATATTTTTGTAAAATATTCTATATTTCGACATAAAATTAATTTTACTATTTGTAATTTTATATATTTTTCCGAAATCCTTAACAAGTTTATACAATAGTTAGAGATTAAATACATAAATTAAATTTAGTTAAATTATTATAAATATTTACTTTGAATTTAAAACATTTTCTTTTAAATTGAAAGTTATTTTAATATTAAATCAGTATATTTCCTTATTTTGAAAATTATAAGAAATAGTTTTTAATTTTAAAAATTTAGAAAACACTACTTTTATTCAAGTTGGGAATCATTGAAATTGTAGTTAAATTAAAATCTACTATCTAGATTTAATAAAAAAGTTGTTCTATATTATTTTTTAAGATTTTAAACTTTTTAAAAATATTATAAATATTTTACTAAAAATATCAAAAATCAATTAAAGATCTTTATGTTTAAGTTATGCGTATGATTTTTATTTTAAATTTATTATCCAATAATGTAAATACATATAATAATAAGGAATTTCCAAACTCCTTAAGCAGTGAAACACAACTGCACACTGGAACGGAACTTGTCTCCACTGTTCAGTGTTATGGTGGAGCTTCCCAAATCTCTCTCTTCCCACACTCTTCTCAAGCTGCTCAAAGCCCAAAAGTCCCCTCTCTCCGCTCTCCACCTCTTCGACGCCTCCACCACCCGCCCCGGCTTCTCTCCCTCCCCCGCCGTATTCCACCACATCATCCGCCGCGTGGCTGACGACCCCGCCCTTCTCATCGCCCACGCGCCCCGCATCGTCTCCTCCATCCGTTGCCGCTGCCGCGAGGAGGTGCCCCTCACGCTCCTCAAAGCCTACGCCAAAACCCGCATGCCCGACGAAGCCCTGCACGTGTTTCAAACCATGCCGCACGTGTTCGGGTGCTCCCCCACCGTACTCTCCTTCAACACCCTACTCAACGCGTTCGTGGAATCGAACCAATGGGCACGCGCTGAGGGCTTCTTCAAGTACTTTGAAGCCGAGGGCGTGTCGCCGAACGTTGAAACCTACAACGTTCTTATAAAGGTGCTGTGTAAGAAGCGTGAGTTTGAGAAGGTTAGGGGTTGCTGACGTGGATGTGGGGTGCGGGGTTGAGCCCTGATAAGGTCACATACGGTACTTTGATTAGTGCAACCGCGAGGAGTGGGGATTTGGGGTTTGCGGTTGAGGTGTTCGATGAAATGTGTGAACGAGGGGTGGAGCCTGACGTGATGTGTTATAACATGATCATTGATGGGTTTTTCAAAAGGGGGAATTTTGGGAAGGCCAGTGAGATGTGGGAGAGGTTGTTGAGGGAGGAGTCGGTGTTTCCCAGTGTTGTGAGTTATAATGTGATGATTAGTGGGTTGTGTAAGTGTGGGAAGTTTAGTGAGGGTTTGGAGATATGGGAGAGGATGAAGAGGAATGAGAGGAGGCATGACTTGTTTACGTATAGTACGTTGATACATGGGTTGAGTGAAGGGGGGATTTGGTTGGAGCTAGAAGGGTTTTCGAGGAGATGGTTCGCAGAGGGGTTAGGCCTGATGTTGTTACGTGTAATGCAATGCTTAATGGGTTGTGTAAGACGCGGAAGGTTGAGGAATGTTTTGAGTTGTGGGAGGAGATGGGGAAGTGGGGTTTGCGGAATGTGAGAAGTTATAACATATTTCTCAAGGGGTTGTTTGAGAATGGGAAGGTGGAGGAGGCGGTGTCAATTTGGGGTGGTTTGTCGGAGGCAGATTCTGCTACTTATGGTGTGGTGATTCATGGTTTGTGTAGGAATGGGCATGTGAATAGGGCTTTGCGGGTGTTGGAAGAGGCTGAACATAAAGGAGGTGGTGTGGATGTGGATATCTTTGCTTACTCGCCAATGATAAACGCGTTGTGCAAACAAGGAAGATTAGATGAGGTGCGTGGGGTTGTAGAACTTATGAATAAGCGTGGCTGTAAATTTAACGTTCATGTTTGTAATGTGCTGATTGATGGGTTTGTTAAACATTCCAAACTTGACAGTGCTGTTAAATTTTTTATGGAAATGAGCAGCAAATGTTGCTCACCAAATGTTGTGTCCTATAATATTCTTATAAATGGATTATTGAGAGCTGGAAGATTTCGTGAGGCTTATGATTATGTTAATGAAATGTTGAGAAAAGGGTGGAAACCAGACATTATCACGTACAGCATATTGATAGATGGTCTTTATGAGAGCAGGATGGTGGAGGCAGCCCTTAGGTTGTGGCATATGTTTCTTGACACTGGACGTATGCCTGATATTATTATGTACAACATTGTCATCCATAGACTTTGTTGTTCTGGCAAAGTGGAGGATGCTCTGCAGCTTTATTCAACGATGAGGCAGAGGAAGTGTGTTAATCTTGTGACTTACAATACCATCATGGAGGGTTTTTACAAAGTTGGGAACTGCAAAATGGCAGCAAAGATTTGGGATCACATCTCAGCAGATGAGCTACAACCTGACATCATCTCGTATAATATTACTCTTAAGGGGCTCTGTTCTTGTGGTAGAGTAACAGATGCAATTGGGGTTCTAGATGATGCTTTGGTGCGTGGTGTTCTGCCAACTGCCATTACCTGGAACATATTGGTTAGAGCATTGATATTTTAAGGGGCTTCGACTTGATTCTTTTGTGATGTGCACTAATAGATTAAAATATTTTTTTGGCATTTTTCCCACTTGTTGGCTACATCAACTACAACTACAAGTATTATACTAAAATACGAGTATTTTACTAGTCTCCCACAAGAAAAGGAATTCCTGAGATGTTTAGGTATGAGACCAAGCAGCAAGCATGTTTGTCATATTATGCTTCCTGATAGCGTTTTGAAGGAAATTTAAAGCCCCTGGGCAAATAGTTACTGGCGCTGGCCTACATCTACTATATACAGGCATATTACGGTATCAGGTACTTTGGTGCAATACAGCTTGTCTCTAGGGTGCCTAAAGTTTGGGGTTGGCTGAACAGAAAAGGGACATGTTTCTGGGATATTTGTCTGCCTTATGTAAATTTATGGGATATATATCTGCCTCAGGCTTTATTGGGAATTTCAGGCAGCGATAGTATACTTCTCTAATTGATTAACCAACTTGTTAAGCTGTATAGAAATGAATTACGTTGTGTGGTTATTAGTTTTTCAGTAATTGTTTATATGAGAGAACATACAGAGATGCAAGTTAGCTTCCAAATGTACATATCTAAAACCTAGGATGATGATAAGAGTATTTTTTTTTGGTTTAACAAAATATATGAAATAAAGGTTTCATCAGCATCACATGGTAACCCAGTTACTCAGATTTTGGTGATTTTAGTTATATAGCCAATATCTGCTGTTGATGATGCTAGAGCAAAGCTGCATGATGTTATCAGGCTCAAGTTATAAGCTTCCACTTGGGTTTATTGCTCATGCAATATCCATTAATAATTCTGTTTCCCAGAAACTCGCTGTCAGTCTCAGTAAAAATTGAACTTCACTTATTTTTCTCTTCGGTATTTGCCTTTCTTGTTTTTCCAGTTTCTGATGACATTGACTGTTCGTAGATGAGCTGAGAAACTAAAGCCACAACAATAGCTCCAAGAACTGCTACTTTTCTCCAGTCAGTTGATGAGGCAATAGTATTGACTATTGCAAAGGTAAGCAGGCCAATAAAGAAGAGGTAAATGCTTTTTCTTGTTCTGCTACCAGCTTTTTCTCTGGCTACATCTTTGATTTTTTCTGCCTCCACTTTAGCTTTTGCTTTGTCAACAGGTGTCTTCTTTCTAAGGTTCTTGAAAAATAGCCCTTCGTTTCTTCTATCCTCCATTTTAACTTCAAACTCATCTAGTTCCTTTTCGCGCTCCTGAATCTCTTGTCTGAAGAGTTCTGCAGATTCCTCAAACTCTACCTTCTGGCTCTCTATGTTTGCTGTTATCTGCCAACACAAAACGAACACCGGAAGAGGTCATAAAGTACCTTTCACATTTAGATTTTCCTTCATGCTGATGCTTTTGCCAAACCATGGTTTGAGCCTTTTCCTAACGAAAAAAAAAAAAACAACCAAAAAAACACTAAATAGTTAACTCAGTTGAATCATACTCTGGCACTAGCTTCATCTAATCCTTGGAGGGCATCTTCTCCAATCTTGTCAAAGTCAGCCTTGGCTTCTTCACCAAACTGGGCTAAATATGCAGATCTCTCATCTATATAGTTTGTGAGACGGACTTTTTGAGTTTGAAGCATGGCAATTTGTGCTAGCAGTTCTTGCTTACGAATATCTCCTGGTTGGGGAGTTTGAGAATCAGATTCATTGGACTTGCAGAGGCAGAAAATAGAACCTTTTGTGTTGAGGACTCTGCTGCGGTGGATGCTATATTTGATATTGGTAGGAGTAGAAGGATGAACGGGTTTGAGGACAATCATCTTTTCTTAGTTGTGGAAGCATGTACTTGCATTGCATGGGTTGGAAAACAATAAAGGAAACCAAGGGAGAAGAAAGGGGGCTCAGCAGGAACAAAATTTTAGTTGTGTTGACTGCAAGTATTTTGGGCCTCTGGTTTTCTGAACATTATCTCTATTAGGACAGAGACATTTTTATCAGAAAGATAGAACTATATTAGTACTTTATCTCACGCTTGAAATTACAGATGTTGTGCATACTCCAAAATCAAACTTCCCAAAAAATTGTATTTTTATATTTAATGTATTAGATCCTTATATTTGTTACATTATCATCCAAATTTGTAAAGGGATTTTTTTTTTCAATTTAGATTGAACATATATGAATGCACATATAATTCCATCAATTGTCATATTCTCGTTTAAGCAAATGTTCATTAAAGTATTGTATTACTTTATTTTCTCTCTAGTCTTATATTCTTATATCCTAAATGCTATTTTTATTCTAGTCTAGTTTATAAGTTTATTTTAGGGTTAAATATGTTTTACTATAATAAAACAAACAACTTGATTTTGGTCTTTATAACTATTTATTTTTATTTCAGCTTTTGAAAATTATAATTATTGATTTTATTTAGAAATATAAAGTAAGTTTTGATCTTGGGAGATATTTTTCTTTTGTTCTAATACTTTAAAAAAGTGAAATCAATATTTTTATCTTTAATTTTTTTAAGATAGATAAAAAATATTTATTTTAAAATTTCCAATTATTTTAGAGAAATCATGTATTAACATTATTCTAAAAATACTAACTAGTGTTAATTCTGTTGGCCTTTTGTTAAATATCCAAGTTATTAACGAGTGTTATATGATAATTAGGGCTATAAACAAAATGTTAAACTTTTGAGAGATGAAATTAAGTTATATATATAAATATATATTTATAATGTTACGATAAAAATGTTTTCATAAACATATAATAAGATAAGATATTTAAATAAAGTCATAAAATACCATATAATAAAGTAATATAAATTAATTTGTAAGATAAGATATTTGATATTTTCAATTCACTTTACTATATTTATTATGTTTTTCAAAATTCATTCATTACATTTTAAAAAACAATAAAAGAAAAAATAAAATACAAGAGGAAAAAATAATCAGTATTGTATTTACTGCCAAGAGGTTTCTGTGCATAAAAAAAGTTATTATTAATTAACTTCTTGTTATAAAAATTTAAATTGTAATTCCTTTTATTTAAGTAGGACTGTAATACGTTAAAAGTAAATTTATAGGGTTTTAATCTTATAGATATCATTTAAATATATAGTGAATTATGTTAGGAGGTAAATATCCCTTTTATATATGTTTAGTATTTTTTACTGACAAGGTGAATCATTAATTTTAGTAATGAATAATTTGTACCATGATTAAAAAGAAAATCAATGTTAAGTAGACACTTTATTTGGGGAAATGGTTATCAAAATTCACTTTTTTTTTTTTTTAGATTTTACCTTGTACATGGATTAAAGATAAATTTTGATGAAAAGTACTTTATTTGACATTAATATGCAGGGCTACGTAATTTGAAAATTTAAATGTGAGTTTGAAATCTCACATGAGATAGAGGACTAACTTACAAGAAAGATGCATAACCTAATATCTTAAGGTTTTGGGTTGAGAGTGATGTCATATTCTCTTATATGGTTGACTCAGGTCCCATTTGTGAAAATTTCCTTACTGTTAGTCCTCTCGGAAATATCTAACAGTGATATCAGAGCACTAGGTTGTGATATTGGTCTTCTGTTGCATAGTCATTAGAATAGTGTTAGAGAAAATTCTTGGTATACTATGTGGTTACGGTTAATCCGATCTTCCACATCGAAAAAAGTTATTCTTGTTACTCGGATATTATTTGGTAGTGTGATAGTGCATGTATAGGAAAAGTTTTGACAAGGAAAGACTTAGTATTTAAGCGTGTTCATTAGTGACCCACCTCTCTTTCCCGGAATTTACCTGGTGTATCGGTTCATGGTCTACTCGTTGTTGTTCCAAGTAGGCAATATAGTGAGGATTGCATAAATCGGTTTGGAACCATGATAACAAAATAAGAGATAGAGAAGTTCAATGTGAGTAATTTCTCATTGTGAAAATTGAAGATAAAGACAATTTTGAGAAAAGAAAATTGTATTGATGTAATTGCGGAAAGAACCATGAAACATACAGATGAACGACGATGGAAAGAAATGAAGGACAATGCTATTGCGAGTTTGCACTTATTAATGACATATTCGATTTTATTCAGTGTTGTGGAGAAGACTATTGGGAAGGAGATTTGGGATACTCACATTAAACTATATGAGGTGAAGTCACTTCACACAAGAATATTCTTGAAGAGAAAACTCTATACTCTTCTGGATGAGTGAGTTCACATCGATGACGGACCACATCAACCATATGAATACCTTGTTTTCCCAACTATCAGCGAAAAATTTCAACATAATTGAAAATTAGCTGCAGAACTTCTACTTCACAGTTTACCCGATTCGTATGATCAACTCATCATCAATATTACAAATAATAATATTTATGAGAATATGCACTTTGAGGATGTTGCCTGGAGCTATTCTTGAAAAAGAATCCGACGAATGAGTAAGAACGAAAGTTTCAAACAAGCACAAACTTTGACAATGATGAGAGAAAAATTAACGAACGTGGTCCGAGTAATGATAGATCAAGGTCTCGAAGTAAGAAAAATTCTAAAATCAAATGCTACTTTTGTGGCAAGAAAGGGCACAATAGAAAAGAGTATTGGAAGAGGAAGAACAGAGGAAACAACTCTGAAGAATCAACCTCACAAGGTTGTGTTGTAAGTACCTTGGAAGATGGATATATTTTGGTGAGCGAAGCAGTAATTAGCTCTGATGATAAAAATGAGTTTCATGATAAGTAGATAGTGGATTTAGGCACAACATGACACATGACTCCGCACCGAGATTGATTTCACACTTATGAACTATTCTCAGGTGGATTCGTCTTCATGGGAAACAACCATGCATTGGAGATTACTGAAGTTGGTACCATCAAAATTAAAATGTATGATGGTACTCGTTTGCACAATTCAAGGGGTACGACATGTGAAGGACTTGAAGAAGAATCTATTGTCCATTGGGATATTAGATGACCTCGTGTGTAAGATCTATGTTGAAGGTGGAATCTTGAAGGTGGTGAAATGGAGTTTGGTGGTCATGAAGACAAAGAAGATCATAACAAATTTGTATGTGCCGCTTGGAGATACGTTGCAAGAAGCGGATGTATTAGTTATGGTAACAAGTCGGAAGATGCGATGATCATGTGTCATCATAGAATTGGTCATATGTTAAAAAGTGGTCTAAAAATCCTTGCGTAACGTAATCTCTTTCCCAAGCTTAAAGAGGTTAGTTTACCTTTTTGTGAACACCGTGTGATAAGTAAGTAACATAGATTGAAGTTTGCTAGAGTGACTACTAAAAGTAAACACACATTGGACTTGATTCATTCTGATGTGTGAGAATCGCGACACTATCCCTCGGAGGAACAAAATATTTTGTATTATTCATCAATGATTACTCCAGGAGATTGTGGGTGTACCCTATCAAGAAGAAGTCGATGTGTTTTGATCGGTCAAGGAATTCAAAGCACAAGTAGAACTTGAAATTGGGAAAATAATTAAGTGCTTAAGGACGTATAACTGAGGAGAATATGTGGACGAAGAATTTTTAGCATTTTGCAAGTAAAAAGGTATTACTAGACAATTTTTTGTCCGACATACGCCTAAGAAAATGGTATAGCAGAGCGGATGAATAGAACTCTCCCGAAAAGAACTAGAGCTATGTTACGAACAACCTGAGTAGCTAAGTCTTTTGGGCGAAGCAGCTTAAAACTTCCTCGTTATGTTATAAATCGGTCATCGTCAACCACCATTGGTTTGAGCACCCCAATGGAGTTATGGAAAGGTAAACGAACTAATTATTCATCCTTACATGTTTTTGTTGTCCTGTGTACATGATGTACAACACTCAAGAAAGAACAAAATTGGATCCAAAATCCAGAAAATATATCTTGGGTTATGCTGACAATATGAAGGGATATCGCCTGTTAAATCCAATTTCCACAAGGTTGTTGTTAGCAGAGAGACATAGTCTTTGCAAAAATGAACTACAAGTGAGCAAACAAATGATAGTTTGATAGAGGACAAGGTTATAGTACAGATAGAGAAGAAGTCTTCGGATGACTCCTCTGAGTCAGAGGAGGAGCACGAAGATCAAGAGCCAAATGAGGTTGGTAATAAGGATCTCCGACAATCAACATGAGAAAAAATCAGACCATCTTGACATTCACAATATGTGATGACAAGTAATAATGCGTATTGTCTTCTAAATGAAGAAGGAGAACCTTTAATGTTTCAAGAGTTTATGAGTTGCTCAGATGCTTCTCTGTAGATGACTGCAATGTAGGAAGAAATAGAGGTTCTTCATAAAAACAAGACATGAAATCTTGTGGAACTTCCGAAAGGTCGAAAAACCATTGGTTGCAAATGGGTCTATAAGATCGAGAGATGACAATGATCAAGTAGAAAGATATCGTGCTAGATTGGTAGTAAAGGGATATGCTCAGTAAAAAGGTATTGATTTCAATGAGATATTCTCCTCGTTTGTCAGATTGATGTCCATCAGAGTTGTCATGTCTATGTGTGTTACATTTGATTTACATCTTGAACAATTGGATGTAAAGACTACTTTTCTTCATGGAGATCTTGAAGAGGAAATTTATATGCTCGAACCGAAGACTTTAAAGAACAAGAAAACTTGGTTTGTAGGTTGACCAAATCTCTATATGGTTTAAAACAAGCGCCTAGATGTTGGTATAAGAGATTTGATTCTTTCATTTTTTTCCTTGGTTACAATAGATCGAGCTCGGACCATTGTACATATTACAATAGGTTTCGTGATAATGATTTTGTTATCTTATTATTGTATATGGATGACATGTTGGTGGTAGGCCCCAATATAGATCGAATCCAAGAGTTAAAAACACAATTGGTTAGGGAGTTTTTGATGAAGGACTTGGGACCAACAAACAAGATTTTAGGGATGCAAATTCACGGAGATAGAAAATATATGAAGGTTTGGCTTTCTCGGAAGAATTTCTTACCGAAAATCTTGTGGTGCTTCAACATACAAGACCGCAAGCTAATTTCCACCTCACTTCCTATCAATTTTAAGTTATCCTCAAGTATGAGTCCCAACAATGAAGCTGGAGAGGATGAAAATATCTCGAGTACCGTATGCATCAAGTAGTGGGAAGTTTTATGTTTGTCATGATTTGTACAAGACCGGACATTGCACAAGCAAGTGAGAGTAATTAGTAGATTCATGAGAAATCCTGGTGGAGAACATTGGATTATTGTAAAGAGGATCCTTAGATACATCAAAGGAACCTCAGGTGTTGTATTATGTTATGGAGGATCAGAACTAGTTGTCAGAGGTTATGTCGATTCAGATTTTACAGGTGATCTAGATAAAAAGAGATATACTACTCGATTATGTGTTTACAATTGCATGAGGGACAATAAGTTGGTTATCCTAGGATATTGTAGCTCGTCTACCACATAAGTCTGAATACATGACAGTCACTCGGGCATGTAAGGAAGCTATTTGGATTATGAAGATAATGGAGGAACTTGGACACAAGCAATAACAAATTGTTGTGTATCGTGACAGCTTAAAGTGTCTTACACATTGCAATGAATCCAATCTTTCATTCTAGGACAAAACCCATAGGAATAATATATCATTTTGTTCAAGAAGTAGTGGAAGAGGATAGTGTGGATATGCAAAAGATTCACACGGATGAAAACCTAGTAGATGTTATGACAAAGTCGGTTAGTGCTAACAAGTTTATATGAAGTCGATCCTACTATGATCTAGCAAAAAAAGAAGCAACATGGATGACAAGAATAAATCAAGCATGGTGTAAATATTTGATTAATTTAATCAAAATCTTTAAGTGGGAGATTGTGAGAAGCAAAGTCCCACATCAAGGAAATCTCGAGGTGCTCACTTTTTTTACTATAAAAGCAACACAAGTGTTTATCTTGTAATACACATCAAAATCACTTCCTTTTCTTTCTCTTGTTGCTTTAGTACTTAAGAGATAAATTAAGAGAAAAAAATAGTTTCTCCTTTTAGGTTCTCTTAGAGTTATTTTTCCTTTATTTTCAGGAAATGGTGTTATTGTTTCCTCCTTGGAGATAGAGAGAATGATTATAATTTCTTTCATTAGTAGAATTACTCTTTTGCCTATTGTCAGTGTTTTTCTCATCTTTTTATTTTATTTGTGTATGTTTATGCTTTTGTCTAATACCTAACAGTGGTATCAGAGCCAATAGTTTGTCCATGACCAGCTCAGTTAAGTATAGTAAGTGCAAGGTCCTTGTGTCGAAAGTCTTCCTGACAAGGGTTTCAGGCAAGTGAGTTCCGTTAAGTTGAACAATGCAGACAAGTAAGGTCATCATTAGGTACTCATGACTAAGAAATACTTCCGCTCGAGAGGGAGGTATACCAATGTGAAAGGGAATCACACTTGAGGGGAGATGTTGAGAATTCAATTGTGAGTTTGAAGTCCCACGTTAAGTAGAAATGGGAAAGTGGAGTAACTTATAAGTGAGAAAGACCCATAACCTAATGTCTTAAGGTTTTGGGTTGAAAGTGGTGTCATATTCTCTTCTATGGTTGACTCAGGTCTCATTTGTACCTAATGTGGGACTTCAAACTCACTTGAATTTTCAACGTTCCGAGGAATGGTATCACAAGAGAAATACCTAACATGTAATGGTGGAAGTAACTAATTTTTTGTGTTATAGTCTAGATACTCTTTCTTTTTAAGTTTTTATGGATTGTTTGGTGAGAGCAAATTCAAGAAAGATTGTCATTTGGGCACAAATTATTTAATCTATGACTGAACAATTTATAACAAGGAAAGGGAAAATAGTGTCTAGGTGGTTGTGTTGTGCTAATAAATTCTATTTTATCTTCAATTGCATTACTTCCCCTTAAAATGTTTAAGGTTTTAAACATACTAAACATGTAATAAATAATTCTTTTCGGTTTGATGAAGATGACAGGCATAAAATTGTTTGGATTAGCTGAGAAAATGAATTGACATTTTTTAAGATTTTGATGGCATAGAGGTAAAGGATCTGAAACTCTTTTAACTTGAGGCTTTTAGCTAAATGAAATTGACACTTTTTTAGATTCTGATGCTGCTCGATTTCCATTCTTATTTTATGATAATGCTATGATTGGACATTTTTTTTCTAGTTCAATTTGGTGGAGGGACATTTACATGGTCAAGAATGCTACTTATGTCTCACCACTTTGATTTATTCAATATAAGAATAAGAAAGGTTAGAGAGGAGGAACAAGGAAAGTTCTTACATGATGTTCGATTCACACTAGTGAATGGAAACACTCCTTCCCTCTACTATTCTAAGTCTCTTAGAATAGACTGCTTGTGTGGCTAAAATGAGAGTGATTTGATGATGATTGGTGTTGAATGTGGAGTTTGTAGTCTTCTCTTTCACTTAGCTGTAAAAAAATTCATGAAAGGGTTTTGTTCCATTAAATGTTTACTTTATCTTACTGGTGTTCTCTTTTTGAAGATGGAAAAAGTGTTGTTATGCCTCAGCCTTTTTAAAATGCTCTGATTTGGTCTACTGAAATTATAGTTAACAAAGTTGTGTTTACATGGTTTAAGGTCAGTCAATCTGATTTCTTTTTTATGTGTGAGTAACCTATTTTTAAGCTAGTTAGAACAAAATCTAATTGTACTTACGATATTAGAATTGCTGCTAACTCGAAAAATTCTCTCATATCATAAATATTAAATACAGGTTCTCCATTTATGAGTATTAACTCATTTCAATATACAAATTACAAACAATCATCCACCAATGATGAAGTATCTTGGCACTCAAAATGTCTTGTATCACTCAATGCACTTAGTTTTTTTTATCAATTTTAATACTTTTTTTTTAAATAATAATGTATTAAGTGCAAGAAATGATGACTTTAATAAATGGTAACCTGAAGCATCAAGAACAAACCCAGTGGATTGGCAAAAAAGATTTGGATCATATTCAAAGATGTACACAATAGTTAAAAAGAGAAAAAGAATCCGAAAACTAATTACCAAAGCACTCCAAATAAGATGTATACAAATACTTGTTCCAAGAAATTCATGCAAATTCCAAGATAAAAATACTTAAAAGTCTTCAGCAAATATAGCTGTCCAACCTCAAGCTATTTTCCAGCCACCTTCTTGTACCTGTAACTCTTTGCAACCCACAGAAACACAAAGAAATTGATAAAGCTCAGAATGGTCAAAAGCCAGTAAAAATAGTCAAGGTGGCCTCTATTTAGATTGTCAGGGATCCAACCAAGACTACCATGTCTTGTGGTGATCTTAGTAACAATAGTGACAAGCAGTGTGCTAACATAACTTCCCAAGGCATTAGTTGTGAGTGAGAGAGCCATACCAAAGCTTCTCATAGCATCTGGTGCCTCACCATAGAAGAACTCTAAGGAACCAATGTTGGTGAAAACTTCTGCACATCCAACAAGAAAGTACTGGGGCACTTGCCAGAAGATTGACAAGGGGATGGTCTGAAGTTCATAATAGTTGTTTTTTCTGACCATGTCAAGGCGAACAACTTCTAGAATGCCAGCAACAACCATGGCTATGGTGGAGATTACAAGGCCAATTCCCATTCTTTGGAGTTGTGTGAACCCTTGTTTGTGGCCAGTGAACCTGCTTGCATATGGAACAATGATGCGGTCATAAAACGGAGCCCAGAAGATGACACTTAGTGTGTCGAAAATGGTAAGGGAAGCTGATGGGATTTTGAAGTGAGGGCCAATGTGCTGGTCCATTGTGTTGCCTTGTAGAACAAACATGGTGCTCATTTGACCGTATACAGTTGCAAAGGCAATCAATGATGCCCAAACTGGGAGTAAAGAGATCACTGATTTGAGTTCCTCAACTTGTGTCACAGTGCAGAGCCTCCAAGGATTTGGCAAACCTGTGGCAAGGTCAGATTGGGTCTCTACGGCTGCCTTATCCAAACACCTAGGTGGAATCATCAACACATTTTGTGCTCAGAAAAGGCACATTATGAATCAAACTTCAGGATGAAAGAGTATACAACAGCTTATTTATGGTGAAGTCCAATAAAAGATGCATATACACTCCAAGTTATTGCTTTTTACTAGTTTTGTTTTAAATTTAAAACATGGGACTAATTAAAACTTACATAATCGGTTTATTAAATGAAGATTATCTCATTCTTATATATTTTATTAGTCATGTGATAGGATCTTTAACTCTCCTCGTATTGAGGATTAGACATGTAAGAGTAATCCAATTATGGCTTGATAGCAATTGGTCTGATATGGCGAACAACAATCACTAAATTTGTACCTTGATAAGCAGTTTGTAAAGTGAGGCATTTACCGTAATTATATACTTTAATTTCAATCGTATAGGAAGTACTTTTGTTTCTAACTATAATATAAATATGTATCCTTGACTGTGCCTAAAAAACAAAAGAAAATGGATATTTCATTTCATGACTGATGTTAATTTATACAAAGTAGATGCAGGGGTTTCTTTATAACTCACTTGAAGCGATTTGTATGATCAAGCTTGCGGCTCCCTTTGATGACAGATTCTACATCTACTGTCTCATGAAGATGAGACTCATCATCTGGCACTCTAAGGCTGATTTTCCTTAAGGCTGCAACTATTACTTGACAAATCCTTGTAAGGGGACTGCCTCCAGGTATTTGAAGCCTGTAGAGTCTGCTACCACTAAAGAAAAATATAATTGCAATGACCATTGCAACAGCAGGAACTCCAAAACCCCATCCCCAGCCTATGTTCATCTGTATCCAAACTAATACTGAGGAAGCAACAAGTGCACCAATATTAATGGAGAAGTAAAACCAGTTGAAGAAAGAGCTCTTCCTTATTGTCTCTTTCTTGTCTGAATCATCAAATTGGTTTGCACCAAAAGCTGAGACACATGGTTTGATACCACCAGTTCCAAGAGCAATCAGGTACAGTGCTATGAAGCAAGCTGAAGTTTGGGCTGATGTTGGATGACAACCATTACCATCACATAATGGCTTTATCCCAGGGGCAGCAGCAGACAGTGTTAAAAGTATCATCCCCTGCATAGTAAATAATCATTCATTAACAAAAGCTTATTCATTATTGCTTGCTGTGTTATTTTATCCTTTTCTTCTACATAAAAGGGCTCTGAAAGGCAGTTTAAATAGAATAAAAGTTGAAATCACTTGAACATTTCAAATGGAATGAATACAATGAGTTCAAAGAGAGAATGATGTTTAAAAGATAAAACTAATCATATCATGTGAAAATGAACATGTTGTTCTCTCAACTGAGTTGGAAGCGATGATTTAAAAACCGGCCCTATTGTTAACTTGATCAAGGAACTATATTAATGAGTTATGAGCCAAATCGATAGGTTTGTAGCTTAAGTGCATAAACCATAATAAGTAACATAATGTCTATTATTCATAATATGGTCCTGAAAGGAAGTCCAAATATAACAAAATTTGAAATCACTTAAAAATTTCAAAGGAATAAATAAAATGTGTTAAAGATAGAAAGAATGTTAAAAGATAAAGCTATCGATATCCTTGTTCTCAAACCATAGTGAAACTGAGCATATTTTTCTCTCAGTTGGGTTGAAACTTGAAAGCAGCATGATTAGAATTCAAGAAACAGAACTCAGAAGAGTGAAAACTAAATGCCTTAACTTGGGACTCAAAACAAATAATATTTTCTGAACTTACAACGGCATAGAGTACTGAGAAACTGGCAATTGTCCAATATCTTCCTAAGTATGAATCAGCTAGAAACGCTCCAATCAATGGTGTGATGTAGCACGTGCCTGACCAGGTTGTGACATTATTTGCAGCAGTTACATTTCCCTGGTTGAAACGTTCCTGAAGATAGTTCACCAGGTTTGTACTCATACCATAGTATGCCAATCTCTCACAACATTCGTTTCCTGCCACAAAATGATTTAATTAAAACTCAGCATCTTAGGATCTTCAAGTTTTAGTTCAAGCATATGCACTGAAATTTAGACATATTATGCAAGTTAAGACAACATAGTTTCTAAGATAAAAATTAACAAAATGAAATCAATACCAAGAATAAAATAGCAAGCTTTCCAGTTTCCAGTCTTTTTCTTGTTGGCAGGTTTTTTGGAGATGGTAATGGTCCCGTCTTGTGTATATATGTCATCTTCTGCCATAGTCTCAATGCTATTTCCTATTGGCTGGTTCTTTTTTCTCTGTTATCCCTTCAAAGGCTCAGTTACCTACAAAAAAAATCAATTTGTTGGCTTCCTGAGAAAAATGAACAGATAATCATCATCGCAGAAACAAGTAGACAGAATTGCAAATTGAATTGGCCAATTGGGCTATTTGGAATTAATAAAAATGGGAACACTGATACAATAGTAGAATCCGATATTGATAAAAGTGGACCCCTAAGTGTGTCACAACAGTTTGATATAGCATAAATTAATTTCTTTTGTCCTTTGTGCAGCATGCGCGTAATGATATCACAATCACCCTAAAAGCCTACCGCATGATAGCAACACCAAGCAGAAACCATAAACAGATACCACCATTATATGTGGAATGCTCATTGCATTTTCTCATTATAAGAAAAAGGCGAAACACTTACAGACAGAGAAATCTCTATAATAATACAAAAGATGGTAAAATCGAGAGTTTTTGGCAACAATTTTTCTCCCCATCTTCTTTTGCCTGGAGTGAAGGTAGAGTTTTCACACTACCACATCAACGCTAAAATTCATGGGAAATGGTGGAAAAAACTGAATCCTATGAAACAAAAAAGTCAAATAACACAGTTTTAAGCAACAAAACAAACTCAGGGTAACGATAAGATTAAATTTGTGTGCACCATGCTTAAGACGAAAATAATAACATCCACTGAAGAATTAAAACCCCATTTAGCTGGAGTTACTTGCATGCCTCAGTACTCATCTTCAATCAGAAATAGACTTTCAATACATATAATAACACAAAATTTGTATTAAATATATTATCAAAGGTAGATTACAATTCTGATAGACTAACGCTGCTAAAAACAACTAAAAAACTTAAGTTTTCTCTTACCACACGAAACAATAATATTTGAACATGTGTGGAGAAACCAATAATCGATATTTGTTAAAACTTAAAAGAATTAGAGAAACCCATCAAACTATACGGGAGAGAAGAATGTGGAAAAAATGCATGGAAGTGGAGAAGAGTACAAGAGAGAAAAGAATTTGCAACTTCGTAGAGGGAGCATGGACCGTAAAATACCACCAAAAACAGCGGTGCTAGATATTTATAACCAGACAAAAGTGCTTACGCATCGCGAAATTATTTGCGTCAAAACGCGTCACGCTTTATCCAAAAATGTTCAATTTTATGGTCTCGTGGTGAATCACTATTTAGGCAATTATTTCTATATATATGACATGAATAAAAGGAGATATTTCATTCTGAAAAAAAAAATCACTTAAACTCTTTTATTAACATTTATTATTTTTCTTCCATTATTTTTTATAATAATTTATCTTAACTATTAAATTATTAAAACAAATTAATCTTTATCTATATAATTTATATTTATTTATTTTTTGTTTTTTCTTATGAGATTAAATTTCTTTAAGGTATCAAATAATTACGTATATACAATTTTCTTTTTGTCATGGTAGAAGATGGTATATACATTTTTCATTTGTATTAAGTGCTCATTGATTTTTTTCCTGTCTTGAATGAAAATGAAATACCCCCTTTAAACCCAATATGCGTCCTTATTCATTCGTATAAAAACATACCAAAATAAAAAGGCATAACACACAATTATAAATAGTTAATTTAGCATTTATTTGTTTTAATTAAATTGTATTTATAATACCTAATAAGCACTTTTTTAATAAAAATAATGTCGCACTATAATTTAAATTATTCATTACAAATTAAACTATACAGTTATATATTTATATTACAACTTTTATGGTTTAGTAGTAGCAGTAAGTTATACAGTGAATTTGTTTATTTTATCATTTCTATTTGTTGACCCCATAAAATTTGAGTCCATTGGACTTCTATTTGATTTGGGCCTACTGGCCCAATTATGCAGTTTGCCTTACGCCTACATGTTAAATTAAGCTGATTATGAGAAATGATTTTTCCACAATCCTTTTTCATCTTCAGACCCTTTACATTTTTTCTTTCTTCTGAAATTTCTATTGTATTCTTTATTTTTTATTTTCTATACCATTATATAAAGGTGTTTTACGAAGACAACCAAAAACCAACCTTTAAAAAAAAAAAACAAAACAAAAAATGGAGGTCCCGCCACTGTGATTTGCAGCAACTGACAACAAATAATTAGATTTGTTCAAGTAGTGGATTCAAATAAAGAAGAAGATGACGAAAAACCTTTTTATATAGATTCTAAAAAAATTGTATATAACGATTTTTTATTTTTTTTACATTGATTTAAAGGAACGAAAGATTTGAAAAGTTTCACTTTCGAGATCCAAGAATCTATCAGTTCTCTCTCTCTCTCTCTCTCTCTATATATATATATATATAAAAGGAAATTGATGTAAAAGGTGTTTTTCCTGTTATTCACTATTTTGATTAAAAGCGAGTTTCACATAAATTGATTTAGTAAAGTTCAGGCTTTTATACAAGACCTTTTTGTTTGCTCTTCACAAATAAATAAATTTCTATAAAAGAAAGTATAGACATTTTGTATCAAATACCTTTGTTTTTGTGTTTCAAAATATAACTTTACTTTTATCTTTTAAATAATACTAAAATCGTAAAAATGTGATTCCACTGTATATAAAATCTCGCATCAAAGATATATTTTTATTATTTATTTCTTGGTAGATAACTTTTATTCTTATCTTTTAAAAATAATAAATTTTTATAATTTATTATTTTATTACAAGCTGTATTAAAAAATATTTTTTATTGAAATTTATATCTTAAAATTTAACTTTTATTTATATTGGTCATTTTGTAAAACTGTATTTATTTTGCTAATTATTTTTACCAAATTTACTTAAAATATTATTTAAATGCTATTAAATAGGTGTTTGTGGGTAATGTGTGTGTTTGGGTCTATGGTTACATATTAACGACAAACGAATGGAAAAAAACTATTTTAACCACCCTTCCACTACAAGAAAAATCGATTTTAGCAACCGAAAAATCATCGTTAATGGCCAAAATTCGATCGCTATTCTGTTAGCGATCGAAATTAGCGACCAAAATGGTTGGTCAGCAAAAGGGCAAGTCGCTAAGTTGTTAGCGACCGATTTACATTTCGGTCGCTAAATAGCGATCGATCTCGTGGTCGCTAAAGTGGTCGCTAAATAATTTGGTCACTTATTCATTGGAGACCAAAATAGCGACCGAATTAAGTGGTCGCTAAATCGAGTCGCTAATCAGTGGTAAAGTTTTAAAAAATAGCGACCAATATATTCGGTCGCTAATATATTAATATAATTATTTAAATAATAATTAAAATTGGTCGCTAAATCGGTCGCTAAATAGCGTAGAAATAAAATCGGTGGCTAAATAGCGACTAATTTAAATCGGTCGCTAAATCAATGACAAAGGTAAAAAAATACGATCGATTTAAATC